GGCAATTAGCTTTGAAAAAGCATGGCTCCTTGTGGACAACAGGTCCACATGGCTCCACCTGGTAGAAGCATCAATCAGTACCATGAAATACCTAAACGGGCCCGACAGGGGCTGGATAGGTCCACATATGTCACCTTGTATCCTTGCCAGGAAAACAGGTGACTCATCCCTAATCTTCAGGAGGGATGGCCTAGTGATCAACTTCCCTTTTGCACAAGCAGGGCAACTAAAATCTTCAGGGTTAGGGAAGTCTTTAGTTTCAACATTGTGGCCAGCATAATTGTTGATGATCCTCCTCATCATACCCAACCCAGGATGACCCAGTCTGTCATGCTGAACTCTAAATGACTCTGGGTTTCTAAATATGGTCTTCATCGCGACATATTCCTCAGTGGGTTTTATGTACGTGTAGTACAAACCCAATGGCGATGAAGGGAGCCTTTCCACCACTTGCTTTTGATATCCATCTATTTTTGTTATGAGCAGATATTCAGCATCTTGCTCAATCTCGGTTTCTATATGGAAACCGTTTGCACGGATATCTTTAAAGCTTAAGAGGGTACGCTTTGAATCAGGATACAATAGAGCATCCTTTACAAAGATATGGGTACCCATAGGGAGAACTAGAGTAGCACTTCCGGTGCCTACTATATGAGCATTGCTTCTGGCAATGGTCATAATATTTCCAGTTTTCTTATTTAAGGTGTGGAAATATCTAGTTTCCCTTAAGATTGTGTTAGTGGTGGCACTGTCTACTAGACATATATCCTCTTCTGCCATGGGATTCCCACCCAAGTCTGTTTATGGAACATAAACATAAATGAAATTAAACATGGAGTAAGTTGATTCTATTAAGGGAAACATTACAAGGACTTTAGGCCCAGTTAAAGACTAAGCGTGCTCTTCAGGAGCATTATTCATGACCAAAGTTCTACATGTGCTAGTCATGCGGAACACTGCATATGACTGACATATAGGAGATTACTTCACGTCTCCGAATATGTCATCATCTTTTTTCAAGAAGGTTGTCCCAATCATCGTCCATACGAACGTCCCCACCATCCTTAACATTGATAAGCATGTCATCATGCTTTCAATTTGAGCTTCAGGCTCAATGGTGAAGTGGGACTCATGTTGGCTCTTTTTCTCATTCATGCTTTGTTGGTAGAGCTCAACCAGGTGCTTGGGGACACGGCAATTACGGGACCAATGCCCTCTGCCTCCACATCTATAGCAGTTATCCTGCTTTACCCCAGATGATTCACCTGTAACCTTCTTGAGTTCGCCTTTACCTCTGGGTTTACCCTTGCTCTTGCCCATGAATATGATACTTCACTTACCTTTCCCTTTCTTCTCACCATGGCCTCTTTTACGGCCACGCGAGTTTCCAACAACATTGGCATGTGCTTCAGGCACTGCCATAGACCCAGTGGGTCTAGCAGAATGATTCTTTAGAAGAACCTCATTCTGCCTTTCTGCAACTAACAGGACTCAGATAAGATCATAGTACTTCGGGTACTTTGAGTTCCTATATTGCTGTTGCAGCACTATGTTGTTGGGATGAAAGGTAGATAAGGTTTTCTCGATCATCTCAGTGTAAGTGATCTTCAGGCCACATAAACACAACTGAGAAATGATCCTATGGAGGGCAGAGTTATACGCCGCCACAGACTTGTAGTCTTGGAAGCGTAGGGTGATCCAGTCATGTTGTGCCTGTGGGAGCACAATTGACCCTTGCTGGTCAAAGCGATCCTTCAGGGATTGCCATAATACCAGTGGATCTTTCTCGGTCATATACTCAGATTTCAGGTTTGGGTGGAGATGGTGGTGCAAGAAATGCAATGCCTTTTCTTTCTCGGCCTTCGTAGACTCCACAGTGCCAACTTCGGGCAACACAATAGTATGATCGAGACCCATAGAGTTGAGTTTAATCTCAACGTCCAATGCCCAAGTGAGGTAGTTACTACCATCCAAGGCAAGCTCGGTGAATTCCTTCTTTACTATGTCCGACATGTTCTGCAACATCATTTAGTATTTACGACAGGTAAATACGATGTGCAGGGTCGACATAAATTGGTCATGCGTAATCTTCAGGATTACTAGTGTGTGTAATCTTTAGGATTATCACACAGTTTCCCATAGAATCTTTCCTAGCAAATTAACTTAAGTAATCTTCAGGATTACAGATTGCTTGATTAACTATTATTAATCATGCTCGGAAATCAATTTCATAACAATAAAATAAATGTTATGAAAGTCATGCAAACAGCAAAGTAAGCATGTAAAACAAAATGAAGAGCATACATGGGCACTTCATGCATATTGTGCAGACTGTAAAAAGTAAGATAAACCATATAGTACTTCCCCACTATGAGCCCACGCTTCATGGCGACAGAGCCGACCTTAGCGGCATCAAGGGCCCATATGGATGATGTCCATAAATCAAGGGACATCCATAACGACACTTCAGGGTCGTGTAGAAGGTTCGTTTGCCTCCGATATTTGGCGGCAACGGCGGCAGAGCCGTCCATTAAGTTGCCATGCCGGTGCTTCAGGCACCTATATCACCTCTAGCATTTGGACGATAACGGCGGCAGAGCCGCCATTGTGTTATCAAATAGTGCTAAGGGGATGTACCATCTCAAGCCTTTGGACGGTAACGACGGCAGAGCCGCCATCATGTTACCGGGCGTTGCTAAGAGGATGTATCAACTCTAGCAATTGAATGATAACGGCGGCAGAGCCGCCATCATGTTATCGTGTATTGCTGAGAGGATATCGGGGGATGGTACTTCAGGTACCATGTTCTTCTGCTTATTTCAACTATAACAGAAGAATGATTTGCACATAAAGAGCAAGATGATCAGTAGAAACTGATTTCTCACATGTTTACCTTTTTAGCTTGGTAGAGTCTCGTGCTGATAACGTGTTGAGAAACCAGTCGATTCTACTGATCAGCACACAAGCAAACCAAACACAGAGTTGTGGAACACAAAAAGTATGAGCGAGTGGAAGCTTTATTTCTTCTGGATTTGAGTACAAGCTACAAGAGGAGAAGCAGGAGACCGAAGATCGGTTGTCCTCGCCTTGGACCTTATGGGCCCTATTTATAGGCGGAGGGTGGAGGCTTACATCGTAAGCCTTGGACCTTCTGGCTTGTGCCGTAAGCCGGCTTACGCTGTAAACTGGCTTCCTCTGTAAGCTGGCTTCTGGCGTAAGTTTTCTTCTGTAGTAAACTTCCCACTTATAATTTAATTCGTCGATAATAAGATAGGTTTCATAACACTATAGACCTATTGCTACGAATTTCACAACTTTAATGAAAATCTGTATTACTCGGAGGTTCTGAAACCAGGTGCAATTGTTATAAACTCCCCAAACACCCCCAAACAGGACCATTATCACGCTGGTTCTTTCACCCCTTAGCAAGAAAAAGAATGACTAACTTTCGAGCATGACACAAAGTGTTGGTTTTGAAATATGGATGATTATAAAATCATGATAAAGTAAGATCCATAAATTGGATTTGAAAGGCTTGAACAAGCGACTGGATCCATACTAGAAAAGCTTTAGAGAGGAGCTAATGAAAATGTTAAATTACGATCAAGTCCCTTTGAAAGACATAATCAAAGGTGCAATTCATTGGTTGGAGCCAGGAAATGGGTTCGCTATATCCTCGAAGTTTTTATATCACCGAAACCACATCCAATTTTTTATGTTACTTTACTTTTAAATTAATTTAAGGTTTTCTCCATCAGATTCGTTTATTAAGCATTGGCTTTACAACAGCTTAAGAATAAAAGTACAGAAATCTTATCTATTATTTTAAGCATTCGGCCATGTGTCTGAAAGAGCTTAAACAAATAAACAAGCGTAGTCCATCCACCCTAGTATGTTTTAGATGAATTTTTTTTGTTGACTTGGTTGAGTCCCATATTAAACTATTTTTTAGATGAATATTTTTTTTGACTAGGTTGACTAGGCTGAATTGCTAAACGATTTGTTTTTTTAAAAAAATAATATAGGAAACCTATTTTAAAAATCATATTAATCTATTTTTCAAGTTTTTAACTTAATTAATCATGTGCTAATGATCTACTTTTTTTTTTTGCCAGGAAAGAAGGGTTAAAGCAAATTTAATAGTATAGCCAATTTCCAGCTCTAAATTATCTATAGTCAATTTAATAGCTAATTCATACAATAGTTAGCTATAAACATATACTACACTATTAATACCTGGTCCCACATGTCATACACATATTACGTTTTAGAGTCCGTGCTACAGCTAGCTACAAATCTGTAATCCAATGCTATTCTCTATCATCTCTTATCTCCTAAAAATATGTTTATAGATGGCTTATAGTCTATTATTATACCTGTTCTTACCAACCACCCCTAAGGTTCCTTGGTAGGGGACGGGAACTAATCCCTCCAGTACGTAAAATGGAGCAACTCATTAGCACGTGATTAATTAATTATTAATATTTTTTAAAATGGATTAATATGATTTTTAAAACTATTTTCGTATAGAAAATTTTTGCAAAAAAACACACCGTTTAGTAGTTTGAAAAAAACGTATGCGTGGAAAACAAGAAAGATGAGTCCTACCTCTGTCTCAAAATAAGTTTATTTTTGAGTTTCTCTGTCTAACGTTTAACCGTCTGTCTTATTTAAAAAAATTTGTCACACATAAAATACTACTATTCATATTTTATCATCTAATAATAAAAAATTTAATTATGAAAGGTTTTAAATAAGACGAAGAGTTAAATGTTGTATTAAAAACTGAAAAATGAACTTTTTATGGGATGGATATACTACTTAAAAAAAACTGAGGTTAACTGAACTGAACTTAAATTTTCTTCATATGAAATTTGTGTGTCTGACACGGTAAACGTGTGGGACAAGTGGACATATACATGACACATCCGGGGTCCTCTTCACCGTCGCAACGACGTGGCCCTCCACTGATCCCATCCCATTCCCACCTTTATTCCAAAGCACAAAACCACCCGCCCCCCACCACCATCTCCCCTTCCCCCAAAAGGATCATTCGCCAGCCTTTCGATCCATCGGACGAACACCTCCATCGAATCACTCGCCCACCACCACCACCGACCAGAGACCCCCACTCCAGCCGCCGGCGAGGGCGACCCCATGGGGTGCGCGCAGTCCAATGAGGACGGCGAGGGCCCCGTGGCGCGGTGCCGCGAGCGGAAGCACCTCCTGCGCGACGCCGTCGCCGCCCGCCACGCGCTGGCGGGCGCGCACGCGGGCCACGCCGCCGCGCTCAAGAACGTCGGCGCCGCGCTCTCCGACTACGCCTCCGGCGAGGGCGAGGCCCACGCCGGCGGGGCTCTGCGGTCGGGGTCGGCTGACTCTTCGGCCGCGGCGGCGGCGCTCGTCACGGCGTCCTCCGATGGCAAGCCCGTGCTGGCTATCCTGCCGCCGCCGCCGCCCGAGCTTCCCCCGCCTCCCCCGCCCCCGCCGCTGCCTCCGCATGGCGACGTTGAGGCGGCGCCGCTCGCGAGGTCGATGAGCGCGCCGGACCTGCACCTGCAGCAGCCGATCAAGAAGAAGCCGTCCGGCGAGGCGCCCATCATGGAGGAGGAGGACGACGAGGGCGGCGACGGCGGCGACGCGGGAGGACGGCGAGGTGACGACGACGCCGAACTGAAGCCACCCCCGCCGCTCCCCTCGCAGCGCCCCCCTCCCTCCCGCTCCCCGCCTCCCCTCCCGCCGGAGAATGACCACAAGGTGGACACCCCCGGCGGGTTCATCAGCTCCTTGTTCGACTCCATGCCGCCGCCCACTCTGGACACCGCCGCCGCCGAGCCATCGTCTTCGGCGTCGGCCGAGCGGAGAGAACCACCACCCCCCGCGCCGGACGAACACCAGCCATCGGCGGCGGCGAGAGAGGTGGCGGAGGGCAAGAGGCCGGCCGCGGCAGAGGCGGCGACGACGCGGCGGGCGATGACGCAGAAGGCGGCGAGGAAGGGGAAGGCGAAGGCGGTGATGCTGGTGGCGCCGCCGCAGCCGCAGCCGGCCAAGCTGGGCGTCGGCGACATCCTCCGCGCCCTGGACGAACACTTCCTCAAGGCGTCGCAGAGCGCGCACGAGGTGTCCAAGCTGCTCGAGGCCGCCAGGATGCACTACCACTCCAACTTCGCTGAGACGCGAGGTAATTTCAATTTTCAAACCAACACGATGAATTCACTTCACGATTCAGATTACTTTCAAACCAACAGCAAAATTAAAATATCTTCTTTACAATCTTTTTCAATTTTTCACTGTGATACTAGATAGATAGAACACTTGCTGCTTATCTACCATTTCAGATTACTCATTGGAATGAGTAAAATAATCAGTACACTTGTTTCGGGGAATATGCTTTAGCAAGATTGGATAGAGAAGTTCAGATACGTTTTATTAATGGTGACTTGGTGATTATGGAAGAAGTTAACCCGTTCCACACGATTGTATTAAGACTTTGAATAGATTACTAATCTGCACTGTCAAGAACAACAGAATGATTGCATTGTTTTAATTATTGGAATGGGCCAATGGAATGGTTATGGTAGTGGAGCCGCATTTAGCGGGTAAAGCGAAGAACCGGACAGAGCATCTAATCACATATGGGTCACAGGGTACAGGGGAATGAGTTGTTTGGGGTTCACATTTAAATTGTTGATGACCTGTATTCTCATGATTCACTTTCAAGTTCAGTTGAGCAGTCTCTGTCTTGCTTGTTTTTTAGTGCTCGCTGTGATTATTTTCTTCATACTCAGCATTCTTTTTTTTCTTCTTTTGAGAACTCTCAGGTTAATTTGGTTTCCTTCCATTGTTAACGTAAATGCCATTTGCATCCTATCTTAGTAGGATTTGAGAACCATTCCTCGAAAAAAATAGGAATTACATATTTGAGTTCCTTCTGTTGTTAAATGGCATCCCTCTTCGGTCTTGCTAGGATTTGTGGACCATTCTGCCAGAGTGATGCAAGTAATCACTTGGAATCGCTCGTTTAAAGGGATACCTCAACCGGAAAATGTGAGGAATGAAATGGACGATGACGAATGGGAGACACATGCTACCACTCTTGATAAGCTGCTTGCATGGGAGAAAAAACTATACCATGAAGTCAAGGTACATGGTGTTTCTTTTTTGTTTACCACTAGTTCAAAATATAAATCTTTGCAACCACCCACTCATTTATTGGTACAATCTTATAGATTGCTAAATTCAATAGCACTTTCTTACGACAATAATTTTGCAATATGATTTGTTCAGCACATAAAGACGACCTCTGCTACTAGTTTGCTGGAGTATTTTCTTTCTTCCTGTTAAGTTATTTTCCTGTTCTTGTGGAATTTTTTGTTCATGCAATCATCTGATCTGTAAACCTTTCTAGCCATTTTAATCCAATTTCATTACCTATCCATGTTGTTTTTTCCTTTGAAAGGACAGTTGCTTCCATGTTTTAGACTCCTAGGATGTGAAAATGATTGAAGCAACACCATATTGTCACTTGTTTCTTGATCTAAACTGTTATGTTTGTACATCTGAGCCAGGATTTTGAGGTTATCAGGAGGGAATATCAACAAAAGCTAGCTGTTCTCAACAAAAAGAAGCAGCGTGGTGTCACTTCTTCCTCACTTGAGAAGACCAAGTCGGTTGTTAGTCACTTGCACACAAAATATGTAGTTGATCTGCAAACAATGGAGTCAACAGTTGCAGAGATCAACCGTCTCAGAGATCAACAATTATACCCAAAACTTCTTGAACTTGTGAAGGGGTAAGCCTTTTTCAATGATTTCTCCTTCTACTATGAATAACAACATTGCTAACGAAACAAAAAAGAACAATAGATATAGACTCAAGAGAACTTAATTGTTTTGTTTTCTTACATTGGCAGAATGTGGCACATGTGGGATGCAATGTACCTTCATCACAAAACACAGCTCAAGATCATCTTGGAGCTCAAGTCGTTGGACATCTCGGTCGCCCCGCGGGAAACAAGCGAGCAACACCATGACCGGACCGTGCAGCTGTGGAATGTTGTACATGAGTGGCACACTCAGTTCGACAAGTTCATGACATACCAGAAGCAGTATGTGGGATCCCTCTACACCTGGATCAAGCTGAATGTGATCCCCATCGACACCAACTTGAAGCCAAATTCATCACAGCCACATGAGACCACACCTCCCATCAAGAGGGTGCTGCATGCTTGGCATGAAATCCTCGGAAAGCTCCCCGATGAGGCTGCCAAGAAGGCGATAAACACGTTTGCAGAGATCGTAAAGACAATCCTGGTTCATCAGGAAGACGAACTGAAGCTCCGGATGAAGATCGAGGATACCAGGAGGGATTATGGGAAGAAGAGGAGGCAATTCGATGACTGGGCACAAAAGTACATCCACCAAACTGCGGGTATCCTTCCTGAGGACAGGAACCCTGACGGTGCACGCCCCGATCCGATGGCGGAACGGAAGGCTGCCATGGAAAAGTTGGAGCTTTCTATGAAGGAGCTGGAGGAGATGTATGTCAAGCAGTGCAGGGTGGTCAGGGAGAAGTCCCTCAGCCTTCTCAGGACGAATTTGCCGGAGCTGTTCAGAGTTGTGTCGGATTTCTCACTTCAGTCAGCTGGGATGTTCAAGGGCGTGTGGTCGATTGCACACACCAATGACCAACTGGATGAATAATATAAGTTCTTTTGTTGTTGTAATCTTTCTTTCTTTTTGTTTATGTTCATAGGTTGATTAGTTGTTGTATATTGATTTTTGGCTTGTGGTGCCGAGATTAAAAAAAAAAGAATGATCCTTTTTGAGCTACTGTTGTTAAAATTCGTAGTATAGATATAGGAGTTTTACTTTTACATTACATGGTATTTGAAAGAGGGAACTGTATTTTTTGTTTCATATTTGATAAATATTGTAGGCTTTATCATGATGAGTTGCAACAATAGAAGGAAGGTGATTGCTTTAATCTTATATGTGTTTGGTGTGAATGATGAGTTTTGTGAAACAGATGGTGTGTGAGTTGATGTTTTGATGATGTGACAAATCAGCACAAGCACAAGAACCTGTCGATGGAAAGTTGAATTTGTTATTGCCACTTCAATCACTGAAGTTTGATCTGAATATTCTAGTGTTTCCTGTCTCTTTATTTATCAAGTTTGATCTGAATATTCTATAAAAGAAAACGATTTTTTTTAACAAATCAACATCTACGGTGAGGTATTGTCAACTTAATTTGAAGAAAGTCTACCTGTATGTATTATTCTGCCTGAAAAATAATATCAACAGGGCATTAAAATAGATCATGAATCCATTACTACTACATCATACTTACCCAAGATGATTGATGCACATCCTTTTTAAATCTTCTATCGTACTGTACTTTTGTTCTATGTGCATGCCTGGGGAATATAAAATCAGATTGTACAAAGTAGCAAGGGAGACTTGATTGCATCCATGTCAATGTAGAACACCCTTGTTATGTTATCAATACTAGGTAGGTTATATCATTGATGTTTGACATTATATGGGAATAGATCAATACCAATTTCAATGTAACCTTAATAAAAATATTTCCATCTCTTCCTCCTTATGTCTATATAGTAGATAGAATTTTAAGTTTCAAGTTTACGCGCTCATAAGCACGTTGTGATTAACTACACTACATCAAGATTACATAGGCCCTGTTTAGATCCCCTGGCAAAAATTTTTACCTTGTCACATCGAATGTTTGGACACATGCATGAAGTATTGAATATAAACGAAAAAATAACTAATTACACATATTGCGTGTAAATTGCGAGACGAATCTTTAAGCCTAATCGCTACATGATCTGACAATGTGGTGCTACAGTAAACATTTGCTAATGACAGATTAATTAGGCTTAATAAATTTGTCTCACAGTTTACAGGCGGATTATGTAATTTGTTTTGTTATTAGTCTACGTTTAATACTTCAAATGTGTGTCAGCATATCCGATGTGACACGCCAAAACTTTACACCCCTGGATCTAAACGCAGCCATAGTGACAATATACTGATGTAATTTCTGTTTTCAAAAAGAAATACTGATGTAATTTCTATTTGGACTATGTATTAGTCAATATTATATATTCCAAAATTGTACTTTTGGGCTAACCATATACTCCCTCCATTTCAAAATGCAGGATGTCATTGACTTTTTACACGATGTTTGACCATTCGTCTTATTTTAAAAAAATATATAAATTTAATTTATTTTGTTACCACTTGTTTTATCATCAAATAAAATATAATATTAACCTATAGTTTTACATATTCATACTGAATTTTTAATGAGACAAATGATCAAACTTTGTGCGAAAAGTCAACGGCGTCATATATTCTAAAATGGAGGTAGTATTAGTCATTTTATAGATTTTATATTATTTAAAAAGGTACTTTTGGTTTTAGTACGATGGTAAAAAACCTGTATTACATGTTGGATAATGACGGTAGAAGTATCGAGGATAATACTCATCGAGCGAGGATGGAAGTGCCAAATATGGCCAACTAGCAAAATATCCCCTCAACATGTGGGGAAAATATGTGGTGGAAACCATATATGTAGTGGAAATCTGGAAACTACCGTTAAATCGAAAAATAGATGTTTGAGATTTGTTCACGTCATCACGAATAAAAATTTTACTCACGGATTTAGTCATAAGTAAAAATTTTATCGCAAGTAAAACTTTTACTCATGATGACATGGATGAATCACGGATGTCTATTTTTCGATCCAACGGTAGTTTCCAAGTTTCCAATATATATATATATATATATATATATATATATATATATATATATATATATATATATTCCACCACATATTTTCCCCAATATGTGTGGCAATAATTTTTTCAATAAATGGGAGACTGCCACCTAACCATATGCCATTAAAACTCCATCATTTTTCACATACATGCCCCTCGAACTGCTAAACGGTACAATTTTCTTAAAAAATTATATAATAGTTACTTTAAAAAGTCATATTAATATACTTTTTCCTTTTTTACTAATAATTAATTAATCATAAAACAGGCTCATAAGTTTTGTTTCAAAGAGGAGGGTTTGAGAAAGAAAAAACCGCTCAAAAGTCAAAACACCAACAAACAAACAAACAAACAAAGAGAGGATGACAGCAAGGCCACCAACCGCCGAGATTAAATCATGCGGCTACGCGTCACCCTGAAAATTCTCGCAACCCACATCCCGTCAACCCAAAAAAAAAAAAAAAGAAAAAAAATCACCCGACGAAATTTCCCGCACCAGCAGCAGCTCATCCCTCTCTCCGAGTCGCCGCTCTCTCCCTCCCGATCGATCCATCGCGGGGTGATGCCCTCGCGCTCGCGGCGGTGACCTCGCCGCCGGCGGCCGCGCCATGACATCCTCCCCCTCCTGGTTCTCCGGCATCGCCCGCGCCTCCTCCGCCATGCCCCCCGGCGGCGTCGCCTCCGCGGCCGCTCCCCTCTCCGATGGCGCGGGTGGGAGGGGCGGTGGAGGTGGAGGTGGAGGTGGAGGTGGAGGAGTGGTCGCCGCCGTGGTTGCTGCGGGGCCTGGCGCTGGTGCTGGCGTTGGCGCGGGCGGGAAGAGGAGGCAGGTGCAGGGGGCGCTGTTCAAGTACGGCCCCAAGTCCGCCCAGGTACTCTCTCTCTCTCTCTGGGGCGCGCGCGCGTGCGGCTTGCGGCGGGAGATCTGTGGGGGATCGTTTTGGGATTGCTCGGGATGATGGATTCGAGGGTTTATTACTTTGCATTGTAGAAATCCTGCGATTGCGTCGTGGGGGGTTTGAAATGGTGTAGGATTTGAGCGGGGGACGAGGAGGAATTTCCCTAGGTCGAGATGGTTCTAGAATCTTCTAGAAGGTTACCGCGTTCGTGCCGCCCAGCCTTCGAGATGCGATGCGGGGATCTCCTCGTTGGATTCGTCCTTCTGCCCTTTTCCGCTGGGTGCGTGCGGTTGTTGAGAGAGAGAGAGATAGAGGCTTATGGAATAAGGAAGCTTCTGTAGCATAGCCGTGTTTCTACTCATGATCCAGGGCTTGTAATGGAAATAAGCGCAGGCGATTCTTTCTTTAGAGGGGTTGCACTTTTGGGAGCCCAACTTGTGTGCTAATAATTTTCTTCTCTTAGTTTTCTTTTGCTGATGTTAACACGGCTAGCTAGGCCTTTTGCGTCTTGTCTCCTTGCTTCTGTATCATTTCTCGCGTGGAAGAAAGCCTACTGAATGAATATACAATGTTTGACCCTATCTAGGCTTATGGTCCCTTTTGCATAGTAGTTCCTTTTGCTGCGTGTAGAGGATTTGTTTTCTACTTTGAAATTGCGACGAAATAAGTGTACAAATCTCTGCCAGCTATGTTTGTTATGATCCTTTGTTGCTACAAGCAAGGTTGTTTATATACACCTTTTGTTGTAGTACAAAAGTGAGGGTCTCAACTCTGAATGGGATAATCTGTCACAATGTACCTGCATTCTTTCCTTTGTTTGGACCACGTAGTGCCACATTGCCATTTGTGACCTTATTAAGATGATCAGTTGGTAGTAAGCCTATAGAACATCAGCATTATATCATGCCAGGATGTGGTTGCAATATTGTGGTTTCTAGATAACTTATTCTGCCGGTAAGATGTACCCTTTTACACATTATAGAATCTGGTTGGAATTTTGAAATCTCTTGGAAGTTTTATCATTTTAATTCTAAGGTAAAGTCCATTTTTGGCACTCAAAACTTGTTGGATTCCATTTTTTACCGTTAACTTAAAACCCAGTCATTTCTCACACTCAACTTTCAAAACCAGAAAAATAACACCCAAAAGCTGATTCCATGGTAGTTTTGATTGACATGACAACTGACATAGCCTTCAGGTACTAAACTTTGTTGGTGTGGAACTGTGGACCTAAGTGGCATCCACATTAGCAAGACATGTATAGTAGGAGTCTGCACTAGTGAAAACCATCACCATGTCAATAAAAACACTGTGAATATGGTCTAGAGTGTTATTGATTTGCTTTTGAGAGTCGAGGGCGAAAAAATGAAAAAAAAAACTGGTTATTGAGTTTAGCATGAAAAAGGACTTCTAGAATAGTTCAAGCACCAAACATGGTCTTTAACCTAGTTGTTTTAACTACCTCAGAGGCCCAGATGTCTATGCACTATGCTTTGTTATGTTGTGTACATTCTGTAACACCCTTCATTTTCTGATGATTTGCATATACAAAGGAAACCCTCACAGCCTCACCATCCATATATTAACTTCTAATTAGATATGGCTTGTCATTACTGTTTTGTTTCTTCTATAAATTTCTTCTTGCAGGTCGCATTTAAAACTGGTGATTTTAACCACCAGGTGATCTTCATCGGTGGTTTGACGGATGGGTTTTTAGCAACCGAGTAAGTTGGCAATATGCAGTTCCATTAAATATTTTTCCATATCATTTGTTGAATTAGAAGACACTATTGATAGTGAAAGTTCTCATGAGTTTCCAATTAGGGTACTGTCCAAGCGCTTCAGTAACAACGTTATTTGGTATCTTTACTGTTAGTTAGTCAAGTTATTGTTTTGATTAGTCTATAAAATAGTTGTTCTGAAGCATGGAGTGAAATGCCTTTCTCCCTGAAAGTTCTTTCATCCTAGTCTGTGGTCTCCTCCCTATCCTAAAGTGCCTTCCCTTCAGCCATGTCACTCCTCAGTATGGAAGCTGCCCTGATGTACTGAGTTGCATAGCATGATGCATACATGGAAACATGGAAATATATACTATATAATCACCATTTAGTACTTCATGATGCATTCATGCAATCACTTCCCTCTCACCAAATCAGTATGAGATAATCTAGTTGTTGTTATTATTTACTCGGCATATGTATAAAATTTCAAGTTATAATTCATTATATGTTGAGAGTAACAAACATGAGAAAAATCTGAAAAATGATGAATTGGAGAAGGATAGGAAAAATAACACAATAAGTTCTGTAAGTATATAATCATAATACATATGTTATCATTTTTTTTTCTCTTGGTTAAGACTGGAACTAATTTTATTATTCTAATCCATGTTGGAACATTACAGCTACTTGGAGCCTTTGTCACTTGCACTAGAGGTCGAGAAATGGTCACTGGTACAGCCGTTACTTTCTTCATCATACACTGGGTATGGAATTTCCAGCTTAGAGCAGGTATGATCTGTAACATGGACCTTTTCATCCTTAGAGTTTAAGAACCGCATTTGCATACATTGAGGTGTTCATGGTCTTAGTGGCATGCTGAAAGAAGAATTGAGGTACTTAAGAATGATTTTAATGTTCTCAAGTTAATTTTCATATTCTTTTTTACATAATATGTTCAGTTTTTCAATCTTGTCATTCCGCACTTTGATCGACTTACTTACATGATTTGACTACACATTCACTCATACCCAGGAAGCTAGTTCTAGAATCTCATTTGTATTTTCCAATGACCACCAAAGTAGTCATGAGATCTTAATTTATACTTGCCATCCGAAAGTACTGTATGCAGAATGTGGTTGCTTGAGCTATCTGCTAGTTTGGTGGTAAACTTCTTTTTTCCCTTCTGTGTTTTTCTTATTCTACTGCAGGACGTTTGATTGGATTGTCCATTTTATTCGTTTTTTTGGGTGCTTTACATTTTAACCCTACTTTTTTGGAATCAAGTATTGATTATATGTTTTCTTGTCAAAGGATGCATTGGAACTAGATCAACTCATCAGTTACTTGATAAACAAAGAAAATTCTGATGGAGTAATATTGCTTGGTCACAGTACTGGTTGCCAGGTATGCTCACTGATATGTTGGTACTATTTATAGTCTAAATAGTAATGCTTCATAGGTTTATAAACTTACCCCAGTGGTCAAGTGGATCCCTAAACTTGAGAATTGCATACTGGACTTGGCACCTGTGTTTCACTTTAGATTACAGATGTGCCACACTTAATATAATTTCTGATTTGATGTGCTGAGTGGTGACCATGTCTAGTGTTACTGACTACTGTAGGAACTTACCAGCCATGCCATGGACATATACGAAAGCAAATTCATCCAGTATTGTTAAAACTGTAGGTACATAAGCACTTGTATTGATATTAATCCCCATACTAGTCCAATTGCATGCAAATCCCTTCCAATTCCACCTTGCCCCAAACCTGTCCTAGTCCATTCTGCTTCCCCTTTTCACTTGCCTATCATAATTTCCTTCTCCGTGCGCTGAATTGTAGCTGAGTTTCAAGCTTATCATGTTCAGATTGGACAAAGGGAGTTTAGTATTAATTCATAGTAGAAATTAAAGCATGTGAAGAAGGGAATGAATCACTTATCATAAGCCCTCTTTCTATCCTCCCCTTATCTCACTTTTGGTTGACCAGCTCCCATTTTGATTTACTCAACTATCTCTGTCTGTCTTCCCGCTCTAAACAACCAGCCTTTTTGCTGTTTAGCTATCCAATTTCCAATGCATTCTGAAATTCAGAAAACACACAATTTGTGAACTTTGCTCGAGAATCCTAGAAGTCTGGGTCTCATATTCTCATTAGCCAAGAGCACTTTCATTATTTTCAGTGGGGCACACATAATGCCCATGGATTCCATATTAGGGGTTTATGTGTACATTTTCATCTCAAATTCACTTTTCATGGAAGACTCATGTGGGCAAAACATCCACATTGAACTTAGTCCGGTTTGTCAGGTCAGGTACTGTGCTCCTTTTGGCATGTTTGGGACCTTGAGTGGTCCATTTTAAACAAATTCAGAGGCTCTTATATGCATTTCTAAAGTTTAGACATCTTGACCACTTGAGACAAGTTTATGGTCAGCATTGTATTTTTATCATAGAAAAAGATAACACAATTTTTTCCGTCAATGCCAGGATATTGTGCATTACATGCGGACAAATTTTGCATGTTCCAAGGCAGTTTCTGGGGTCATTTTGCAGGTATTCTCCCTGTCCCTATCTTCTTGTTTGGATGCGAAGGGGTGAAGTGAAAATATTTGAATGTGAACTATGATAGGAAGTTAGGGACTTCCTCCCTAAATAACAGACCAAACTGATGAATTTGTAACCTGTTGAGAATAATTGCTTTTTTATGTGTAAATCCATGTAAACGGTATCTTGATTCAACTTCTATGATATTCAGGCCCCAGTAAGTGACAGGGAGTATAGAGCAACACTTCCAGAAACTGCAGAAATGATAGATTTGGCAGCAAAAATGTTAAGTGAGGGCCGTGGAATGGATTTGATGCCCAGGGAAGCAAATCCAGATGCTCCGATTACTGCCTACAGGTATCAATTTCCATGCCTGAGATGCTCAGATATACTTTTGTGTCAGTGATGTCTTCCTCTGGGATTAATAAAGATGTCGCAAGATCTACACCTCTGTTAGCAACAAAAATTTCAATAACCGCTCATACTATGATTACTGAAAAATGATAGTTAATGGGATTCAGTATTTTGATTTATGATCATGTATTCTTCAACCACTACGTAAAGAGTTAGATGAGGAGTCACAAGCTGTTATTGCTATTGGATGTTTAACCTATGTTCTGAAAAACTTTAGTTGGGACTTGAGAATTTTGTAGAATCCCTTATAGTTCTCTAGATTGTGATGATGATGACCTAAGACACAACTTGTTGCGCCTCCTTCGGCTATGATGACCAATGATACAAAATTTCTTGCTCGTAGACTCTGTGGACCATGTAGCATGGGAGAGTTATCTATGTTATGTTGAGCAAAGAAACTCGCAAATACAAGTTAAAATCATGGATGATGAAAATTGAACCACATGAATAGAACAAACATGATAAGAATGAAACACTATGTAACAAACCTGATGTTTTTGTCTCCCACTTATGTTTCTCATGACCAACTCTTAGTGGGGTCTTAGTCCTTTTTTCTTTTCAAATGATGCAAAGTTAACCTTTCTGTATTGTTTCAAATGATCCAATATCCTATTACTTCTTTTTGTTCCATATCTTTTATTTTATTAGATCTATTTACCAGCATATCTCCTAGTATCCTTTGTTAGTCAGTGTGATCTTAAAAAATTATCTGCAACGAATCAAACATCATTTTTTCTTCAGTTGTACTCTAATGCCATAGAAATAATGTGTAGGTATCACTCCCTTTGTGCATATATGGGTGATGATGACATGTTCAGCTCAGATCTTAGTGAAGATCAGTTGAGGCAGAGACTTGGTCATATGTCAACAACACAGTGCCAGGTATTGTCCCTTTCTACTTGTGACTTTGTCAACACACATGGAAACACCACTTTTTTTGGTCATAGCCAGAGCCCAGAATTGGTGGTAAATATTGCGTTCACATTTTCATTATCATTCTGTTCTGATGACTATGAATACAGGGATTAGTGATGGTTATCCTTTTATGGTCCTTTGTTTCTGTATCTACTTAAAGCAACAATTTCAAGCTGATCGATCTAAGAAAAATAACCGTTTCACTATCAGATATTTGATATTTTCTTAATGCCTAATTCACCAAGTAGTTAAATTATGTTGTTCCTTGAATCTGTTTACAGCTTGTAGGTTGAATGCTTGCATTTGCATTGGTGGCCATATATGCATAGATATATTAGACTTGGTTTCCTCAATGCTATAATGTAATAAAACTAGGCTTGATTACGTTTAGTACTTGACTTGCATGTTAAGTAATTGAAAGGTGTGAAGATACAAAAACAGAAAGAACCGAAGAACTCATATATATTGATGGGGGTCCTGAACCTAACTTTGAGCATTGGGCTTTCGTAATTTATACATGCATAGATTGTAAATGGGGTAATTTTCCCAGTGGGCTGTTTTGGTTCTATTTGCTTTTTGACCACATTAAGCAAGCTAATGGAATAGAAATCAGGAAAAGAAGTACATTTAAAATCTGCATTAGAATGTGAAAATCAATAACCTTAAGGAAATTAGCGAAATTTGAGCATAACAAACATCCCAGAAGCTTCTCTTTGGCATACTGTATAATGCATTCTACAAAAAAAAGACTTTTTGTTCGTAGAGTTAAAGGTTGCCAAATGAGGTAAGCTACGATGACATTATGCTGTAGCTGCTGAATTTTATATCTTGCAAGTGCTTTGGCTGCAGGTTATTTTCTCAATGGGGGATGAATATGTCCCGGAATACGTTGATAAGGAGGCACTTGTGGACAGGTGAAATTAGAAATCCAAACATACCAGATACAATTTTGATATGATATCATCATGCTCTAATGCTCTATATATGTTTCACTGCAGATTATGTCGCGCATTGGGCAACGCGGAGAAAGTTGAAATAGAATGGGGAAACCATGCTCTCTCCAATAGGGTGCAAGAAGCAGTTCGGGCCATTGTAGATTTTGTTAAGAGAGAGGGGCCCAAAGGTTGGGACGATCCATGGAGCTAGATACAACAGCCATATGTAACATGTCTATCCCATTTTCCTCCCCTAGCAAAACGTCTTGTTTTTACATGTTTCTTGATCATTTTTTTATAGTAATAATTCCTATTTGTTTTGCTTTGTTGCCTTAGTAAGCATTGTGAGACACTTTTGTTTATTTTGTGGACATTTATGTACAATACTTGAATTTGTAAATTGTAGTGAAACTATCTCAAATCTCTCTTTGTCAAATTAACATTGGTTAAACGGTGTAATCAAGACTTTGGTTATACTCGGCTGAATTGACACTTATGAAAGAAATTCATCTAGAAATTGAAAGACTGTTTATGTTCACGCTCTATCAGCCACATATATTTCTCGGGTAATCCGAATTCCATGGCCATTAACTTTTTTTCCGTTTGTTGAAAAAGAATGGAATTTGATAATACGTGCAGATGTTTTGCACACTTGATGCGTGACGGCATGAACTATCCTTATTCCAGAAGAAAAAGGTTGGTCAATTGTTCCATATTCCTGTTGTTATCTTTGTACAATTTTCATGACCTATAATAAATCTTATTTTTAATTGTTAGAGATTCATTCATCATTACTTGGTCTTTATTTGAGTCACACTTTACTCTCTTTTCCTTACATGTTCTAGCCCAAAAAGGCCGAAAAGAACAATAATTTCATGATCCTTCACTCATTCATTCCCTTCTGGTGCTGCAAAAGAAAAAGGTTAATTTGTCCTATTGGGTACTAGTATGATGATATTCCTTTGTAATGATTATTTACTTAAATTGCTTTGGAATTAATCAAGGTGCGCCGAAAGCCAATTTTCATCGAAACAAATGAGCCGAATTTTGTGCATGCATGAAGTGATGCACATATCCGATTACCAGATTGATATCGAGTCAAGTCAGGTGTCCACATCTTAAACTGCAAATCATGGCAAAGCTGGGAAGCACATTGAGATGCAACAATCTTTAATTTGTTCATGCATGGATCTCTGCTTAATCTAGGCAGTGTACGAGTAACTGAATATATGTCACGATCGAATTAGTGGGGGTGGTAGCTAGGTAGGTAGGGTAAAAGTCTATAGAAATGCCATGGTTCTAGCTAATTGCACCCAGTGACATGATTGGAGAATCATGAATTTCATGATCACGAGGTCAGGCCAAAAGGCACTGCAAGTTGGTTGACCATGGAGCACACTAGCTAGAGCCTAAAGGCGTCCAAAATAGGCAGCCGAATAAGCCGAAAGGAAAAGAGAAACCATGAAAGGAAGTGTTCAGCTGATGATGAGCACACAGGTCTATCATTTGCCTTCGAAGTTGTATGGCGTGATCAATGGTTTAGTGATGAACCATCAACAATAGTGAGTAGATACAACTTATTTAGACAACAATTCTATTGGTAAATCGCCATCCGAAGTTAACGAATATTTGCATAATTGTTGTCTCTAAATTCTGACATGCAACATGAATGAAGTATTTGTTCTCATCATATCCTTGTAGTTGGGCTCGGAGCCAAAACAAATGTGTTGTCTTGAAAAGTACGCATATAAGATTTAGTTAGAATTTTATCCAAAACCACACCATTCTTAATTACTTAAACCATAGAGCCTAAAATAAAACATATGTCCCTATTAAGATATGTATTTTTTTTGTTTTTTTAATTGATACCAACAAACTAACTACCAAACATCTGAGAGAAACTACTTGGTGGTTGCAAGCAAAAACAATAGCGGTTTTCCAAAGAAATTTAGCAAAATAATATGATTTCATCATGCATAAAAACATTTTGTACTGCCACTTGTAAATCTTTTACATTATATCTATATGTAAATAACTCATACAACATGTTTTCCATTCAAAAACAAAACATGTTCTCCATTCATATTTAGGTAATACGCATAACAACTCATACATATGTTTTTCATATCATATTTGGATAATATAATTTCCATGTTAATTTTATATATTACGCAGGTAGATTTGTATAATTAATGGCTTGATTCTTTATGCAGTCCTTACAGTGTTTTGTAGATGAATACATCACACCTCTCGCTCTTTTCCCACTCTCTCTACTCAATGTCACTCTCCTCATGTCATCCTAGATGACGTGATATCCCTACGGTTAATGTCTTGTCATCCTTTACGCCTATGAAGGAAGGCGAAATATGTGGTTGATATATATAATTTAATGGGGAAAATGTGCCATTATTTATTCAAATATACTCTAGCTACCACATAGCTTCTATATGCCCACTTACTCTGTTTTTATTACAATTACTTATTTATCTAATTTTGTCTATATATTATTTTTTCTTCAATATATATCTATCTACCTTACAATCTGAATAATTGATCCATGCCATTTCCAAAGTTTTGATAGACATATAGATTATTATTCTTGTCAACTCGACCATCAACTGATGATTTTTAAATTACACTCTTGGAGCCTATTCAAGCCTTTTGTTTGTTCTTAGTTCTATGAAGCCTTAGTTTACTATTTGTTGTTTTTTGTATTACTATTTTTTTTACATATAAATCATCTCTGTAAAAATGAAAGACAATATGCAAGGCCAAGGTGGTTTTATCGCATCTCGACAAGTGACATAAAATTCCCAAAATGATAAATCATCGCCGTAAACTATATTAAGATAAGGTGCACTACCCATTTGCTAAGCCATCTTAATTTACATGCTGCTTCAAAGTAAACAGTTGAATGATTGAACTTCAATCACTTCAAGACTGATGGATAATATCTCGTGTTCTAAACGGGACCTACCTTAGTTGGTGGAGTATCAAACACTGGAAGTGAAGGTAGAAAACAGTCAACTCAACCACCAATCATATATAGTTGGTCTAGAACTGGGAAGCAACACCTGCATGTTCCAACAAGATAATGACAGTTACTCCCTCCGTCCCATAAATATTATATATTTTAGTTTTTGACTCTTCGTTTTATCTAAATTCTTTTTATGATTAGTATTTATATTGTTATTAGATGATAAAACATGAATAATACTTTATATGTGACTATTTTTTAATAATTTTTTTATAAAATTTTCAAATAAGACAGATGATCAAACGTTAAACACAGAAACCTAAAAATGTGTTCTTTGTGAGACGAAGGGAGTATATGTTGATGTCACATTTCGCTTAATTTGTCACCGCTCATCACCAGTCACCACTTGGATCGATTAGCCGACTATTCTGAAACCTATTATGTGGTGTCCATCAGGGCAATATATCCTATGCACACAGGCCCTCACGTGTACACATGTGCACACCAACTAAAAAATATCACCAAAAAATCTAGAAAAAATCATACACATACTTTCAATTGTATTACACCTAGGGTTAAAATCTTAACATCAAATTCATTATATTTTAGCCGTAACAAAAAAAACAAAAAATCTGACAGCTTTAAGGTTGCAATTTTGTCAGAATTTTATCTTTTTTGTTATTCTCTATGTAGAATGAATTTGAAGATGCGACTTTGCACGTAAATGTAATACTATTGAAAGTACATGTATGAATTTTTCTAGAATTTTTTGTGATAATTTTTAGTTGGTATACACGGTGTGTACACGCGAGGGCCTGTGTGTATAGGATACGCTCCCGTCCATCAGAAACATATATAGGACCCGTTTGGTAATTTTGGTACTACTAGCAAAGTTTGGTACGTATATGGTATATGCTCGGTTTGATGATAAATATATTAAGGGTGTATAAGTGGATTGGTCTGCGAAACCACTTATAGGGGTCAAATAAGTGGGTAACATCCTACTTACATAATTAGATAAAATCATTCTAACATTGTAAAACTAGAGGTTGCTACTCAATTAGTTAAAGTCCACCTAATAATTTTCCACTTACTGTCTAACATGTGGTCTGTGAGCACTTCATTTGCCATTGCTCCAAAAGGAACTGTCCTCCACATATATACTACCTCTGTTTTTTAATAGATGACGCCGTTGACTTTTTCTCACATGTTTGACCATTCGTTTTATTCAAAAAGTTTACGTAATTATAATTTATTTTGTTATGAGTTGTTTTATTACTCATAGTACTTTAAGTGTGATTTATATCTTATACATTTGCATAAAATTTTTGAAAAAGACGAATGGTCAAACATGTGAGAAAAAGTTAACGGCGTCATCTATTAAAAAACGGAGAGAGTATCATGCTTGTACAAACCACAACATGTCTACGGAGCTGTGTGGTGAGACTGCACCTGATGAGACTTTCTCCCTTCAATTCTTTGTGTTAAGTATAGAGAGCATCCTTTTAATTAATTAATTTGTTCTATCATCAGATGGTTTTATAGTAATTAATTTGTGGTATAACAAACTCAAAGCTGTAAAAACATGTTGCTGGCCAGTCGTCAATCAGTATAAGAGAGGAGTTAAGGCAAAATTATATATGCAATGTCGGCTAGCTAAGACAAGAATCACGAGTATGGAGATCTTTTTTTTTCACTGTATTTTTTGATGAAAGGTTTAGCAAAGGATAGAACTTTGTAAAAGAGAGTAGATGCATGCATGCAGTGATGATAAGATAATATAGGCATATTAAAGGCTTAGGATAAAACCAAAGGCAACTAGAAGTGCTAATGTCGAACATTACAGCCCCTGAAAGGTGATTCCTTCATGTGATAATCTGATTGCTTTCTGAGTGCTTCTATAAAATGTAACCCCCTATACATGTATAGGTTTAAATTCTAGAACTAGCATCAATGCATGAATCACAAATTAATTAACACTGGTTTGCATGACATATATATTAATGCCTGCAATTAATGTTACACATGTTAAAAGGTATATTAATTATTTGACATTTTAATTTGGTAGGTTAAAACTATACTTGTATGTTGGAGAATTAATAAATATATATCACGCTAGCTAGCAGCCTTTTTCACACTATTTGTGGAGAACATTATATTTGAGCTCTATATATATATGCTCTATTATTTGTTCACCGATATCACCATTGGCTATATATTTTATTTAAAGATACACTGACTTTATTCCTAATATTTACTTATGTTCTTATTTTGAAAAAATAACCTTTCCAGTCATGAAAAATCTGTGAGATCAAGGTTAATTTGATTAATTCTCAAGGGCATTAGTCATATAGAGGAAAAATAGTACTCCCTCCATCCCAAAATGTTTGACGCCGTTGACTTTTTTAAAAAATGTTTTGACCATTCGTCTTATTCAAAAAATTTAATTAATTATTAATTCTTTTCCTATCATTTAATTTATTGTTAAATATATTTTTATGTATACATATAGTTTTACACATTTCACAAAAGTTTTTAAA